TAGATTAAAAGTGATGTGCAAGGATCTAGCCTAGAGAACAGCTGTTTAGAGAAATGAATCAATGAATCTAGCCCTAAGCACTCCTAATCTATCACCTTAGCACCCTAACCTACACATCTAGAACCTCATTAAGCTAAACTGCTCATTAATCATATTAATCTAATGAACAATGTGAATCACACACAATATTCAAAAGAAACAACTCTTACAAAGAACTCTCTTTGAAGAAAACGAAAATGCTTTTTATTTAAGATTGAATGGTGATTTGTACAAATGATATAATGAGCTTTATATAGAGCTCTTACAACGTTCTAAAGTCTAAAAAGAAGAAAAGAAATCTTAGCAATAAGAGAATATAGCCGTTGGAGCTATTATGGCGAGAATCGGCCAAAGTAGAGGAAGTGATGTAGCCTTTGTATCTGGACGGTTTGAGGGGATAGGTGAGCTTCTCTGGCACATTAGTTTCTTCATAAAACACGTCCAAGTTGTAGCATTCAAGAGAAAAGAGCCGTTGGTGAGATATTCTTCCAAGTGTGAATGCATCTATATATGGCAAGTGAAGTTGCAGAAGGATCCGCCTGATCCTGTGGGTGCTGGTGCATGGGAAGGTGTTTCTAAGCTTCCTTAGTTGCCTTAGAGTCTCTCCTGGGCGCCAAACCTTTGTAGATAGTGAACTAAACCAGTCAGAGCTCGGACCTGCCATAAATGGAACCAAGTCAACCCGTTTTGGGAAATTGGGTGTAACTTGAGGATCCAACGGGCAATTCTTCGGATCTTGAGCTCGTTGGATCAAGGAAAGACCAAATAATATTCTCCATGTAATTTTGGGCTTAGAACGTGGATGAGTTGGGCTGTAGAGTACGATCTTCAGCCTAGCTGCGCAATTAGGTCTGAAACGGATCTTCCAACTTGTAAAGTGAATAACTTCCCAACCATAACCGGTATTGGTTTGATTCCAATTGTCTCCGATTCTACGATGAATCAAGAATCGGGAACAAGTTGGTTCACAGCTTAAATCCTTCTGGTTCAATCGGAAACCTTCAATTACGGCACGTATGTCCAAATCGTGGAAGTTAGACATCACCTGATTTGTAAACTGAATAACTCCTTCTTCTGAGCTCCAATTCGACTGACTCCACTTCGAGGCGTTCACTGGGTGAGATAGAAATGTAATACAAGTGTTGGTCGAGCTGGACCACTTGATCTCGGACTTCATCAGTGCTGAATAAGGCGCATGGGTCTTCTTGGGTGGCTTGAACATGCTTTGGCCAAGAATTTGAGTTGATTCTTGAGAATCTTTATTTATGGGTCGATTTAAAAGTGTTTTGGCTCGATCATATCCTTCATTGATGGCATTTGGTTGGTGAAACTCCAAGTTTTCATCCGTGTTTCTGTTGGGCTCGCCTTTATGCTCCATTGTTTTCTCCGGTTCAGCTTCTATAAGGCATCTCTCGGCTTCGGATGGGCCGTCTGGTTTGTCTAAGGTCATTAAGGTCTCTTTGTGATGGTTTGCTGGGTCGATGACCACATCACATCTGATGCTCTGGGGTTCCTCCTCTTCGTGTGGTGGAGTGTAATAGTCGCTAAGAACTCACGGACTAGCTCAGGATAAGTCGGAAGGTTCAGCTCCATGTAGGGTCTCAGCTTAAGTGCATCGATGTACCAGATCACATCCTCTCTGATTCCAAGCATCTCGAGTGTATGATAATCAATGCAAGGCGTGGGTTTGATGTTCAGCTTCTTGAAACGTCTTGCATAGTCCACTCTCGGGTTTGTCTCCCTCCCAATGTATCGAATCTGTGGTGGCTCGGGAGCTGCTCGTGTTTCTCTTGAGTGCTGGAGCAATCTCATCACATAGTTTCTTCTTCTCGGTCTGGCTTGGTTCAGCATGTACTCTCCTAGAGTAACATCATCGGGAATGTCCTCAGAGCTGTCACCAGTGCGACGGCTTCTTCGGGATCTGGTTTGCTCCAGTTTTCTGCAAAACGAAATGATTCTTGGAAAAAAGAGTGAATATGGATGCTGATTTTAACGCATTAAGATTCGTTATACTAATACTAGCATAAAGAGATTAATTAAAACCATGAGCAAACAAAATTGATATTAAATCAGAGAAATCAAGTAGTTCATGACCAGATTCGGATTTTTGATGTTCTCAACATAGAAATCTTCTAAAAATCGGTTTTTATGAGCAATTTCCATGTAAATTCTAAAGATTACCCAATACTAATCACTAATCACACAAGGCTTAATCAGACTCATCAATTTTGCTGTTCCAAATTCGATTTTTATGAAGCATGTAGAATCCAAATTTCAAAAATCTCAATTCCTCTTAAGCTAGGTGCTAAAATTGATTTTTAGATAACCTAAATGGATAATCTATCATTCTTAAGCTATTTCCACCATCAATAAACAGAGATTTGGGCTTTTTAAGAAAACCCTAAGTTCTGAAATCAATTAAAAATGGCGAGTTTGAGGTTCATACCTTGCTGGAAAGAGGGATTTGATTGCAGAATTGGAATCAGCTTTGAAAAAGAGTGAGGTTTGAGCCAAAAATCTTTTAAAAAGCTTAAGAATTGAAAAATGTGTTCTATCTCCTAAATCTCCAAATCTTTTGGAAGAGAAGAGAAGAAGGAGTTTTGATCCAAAAAGTTTGTTTCTTTTCTTTAAAAAGCATTTTTTGTAGCAAAAACGGAAAATTTCTAGAAATTTTTAAGTGTACGGGGAACTTACCTTCTTGTTTGCACATTAGGAAAGTTTAAAAATTACGGAGGATCTTTTCGGTTTTACCGGGAACATTTTGGGAAGCACCGGGAATCATCGGGAATCACCAGGTAAACACCACGCAACACCGGGAATCACCAGGCAAACACCGGGAATCACCAGGCAAACACCAGGCAACACCGGGAAAACACCAGGCAACACCGAAAAGCGGCAGAAATCCGCGGAATCACCTCAACGACCAACGGCCACGGTCAGGAGACGCGCGACCGCGGTGGTCGAGTGCTCGGCCGCGGTCACATTCACGGTGCCGCGGTCGATGCTCCCTTCGCCGCGGGTCGGTCAGTCGCGACCGCGGCTCTTCCTCCTGCGGCCTTTGTCCAACCTTCTTGTCTTTGCCGAGCCGAGCAGCTAAAAACCTACCTTTTTCTTCTTCGTTTTCTTAATTTTCGGTTTTTTTATGTTTTTTTTTGTATAAAATACCTAAAACTTAAAAAGAAAAAGAAAGTATAAACTGTAAAAAAGGAAAAGAAAACTAAAAGAAAGAGTACCTAAATGGGTTGACTCCCATTAAGCACTTTTGTTTTAAGTCGTTTAGCTCGACGTAAGCATGAGGAATCAGGCTGATTTGAATGGCACTCCACTTGATGTGCCCTTATCACTTCCGGTAGCTGGAGGTTTTACTTCTTCTCCTTCAGGAGCCGTCTTCTTCCCTTTATTCATCTTCCGGACTTAAACATTGTTTAAAACCCTTTTTGTGTTTTCGATCAGCTCCTGGATTTGATCCTCACTAGTTTCTCTTGCATCTGGTGAAATGATGATCTTGATCTTCGCAAAAGCTTTCGGCTTCTCTTTTTCTTTCTCTCGGTTCTGGTGGTTTCTTGGAGGAACCTCATCCTCCTCTCCATCTTGTCGAGCATGATCACCTCCTCTGTGATCATTCTCTTCATTTTCTCCATGTTTGGACCCGTCTTGGTTCATATTTAAAGTTTGGTTTATAGGATCTCCAGGCTGGTCGTCGTTGGCCATTCCTTGTGTTTATCTAAGTCTACGAAGTTCTCTTTCGTGTCTGTCTATCTCGTCTAGAATTGGAATGTTTTCTACAGGTCTGCGCCTGGTATTCATGCAATTCAGAGAAAAACAAAAGAAGAGAAAGATAATTCAGCAAAACTTTAAGAACGAACTAGAGATCAGGTGTCTAGAACAGAAGTTAAAACAAGAAAAATACCAAAAGGCAGCGAAACAAATCCCCGGCAACGGCGCCAAAAACTTGATGTCGTGTCAACTGCGTGAGGGAACAAGTTTTACCCTTAACAAAACAAATGAAAGCCGCAAGTGCACAGCTAATCAGTTGTAACATTTAGGGATCGAATCCACAGACACTACAAGAAAAAAGGTATATTGTTACAAAAAATTTTGTCACAATAATCACAATTTCGTCACAATAAAATTATTGTGACGGAGTTGTGATATTTTTAACAGTCACAATAAAGTCGTCACAAACTTATTTTCGTAGCAAAACCGTCACATCATTTGTGACAAATATCTTCCGTATCTATATTGTCATTAATGGTGACGAAAATTAAACGTAAGAAAACCGTGTCAATTAGAGACTATAAAAAACGTCTAGAAATTATCTCGTTTTGCTACGTATATAATGTCTCACATTTGTCACTTTTTTGACGTATGTTTAGTTACAAATCGTCACAAATAATGACGAGAGTGTCGTCGCATATTTGTAACGCTTACAGACTAAAAACGTAGTCCTAAAACTGTCATATTTTGTGACTACTACACTGTCTCAATTTTGTCACTTTGTTCGAGAAAAATTTAGTCACAAACCGTCATAAGTAATAACATAAAGAACGTATACTATCAATCTTAATTTGTGACAACTTTTATTGTACCAAATTTTGTCTCGTTTTTTTACTAAAACTTTGTAACGATTTCGTCTTAATTAGCTACTGATTTATTGTCTTTAAATCATCATTATTCTTTACTAAATTATTCTCATAATTTTCATGCTGTTTGGGTTTTTTCTCGCCTAAAACGTCATTACAATTTTTTCAGCTAATTGTGAATCATTCATTAAAAAATAAGAAGCTAAATAATTTTTAATTAAATTATTAATAAAATAAAAACACCAAAAACGTAGATGTCTAAATAAAAAACAATAAAATCATGTTAAACAACATGACCAAACATACTAAAACCATATTAAAAAGCATAAAAACAAACCAAAATCTTAGTAGCTACAAAATAAACTGAGAAGCGGAAGTTTATGCTGGAGTAGACGAAGATGGAGTTGTTGTGGTTAAGATATCCTGGCCAAAAAGAGTCTCCACAAGTTTCTCCACAGTTTCAAGGCGTTTCTGGAAAAGAGCATTCTCATCATGGCTTTTTTGCAGATCAGTTTCAAGCTCCTCGATTCGGCGAGTTAAGGTTCCCACTTCTTCAGTAGTTTGTGGCAAAACAGACGAACCATTAAAAGACATAGAAACTCCACTTTGAAGTGATCCAATTCCAAATACACGACCTTGCTTTGATATTCCAGCAACCTACGAAGAAAACACAAATCAAAGTTTAGGCTTCATCTCAATTAAAAAACACAATCAAAGTTTAAACCAAACAAGAGAAAAATTGAACAACAGAGTCAAAGCCATAAAGAAAAATTGAACGAGTCAAAGCGGAAGCAAAATTGAACGAGTCAAAGATCTTGTTGCTGTAATCAAACTTAGTTTCCAACGACATTGAATTTTTTTTTAGAAACTTGCAGCTAGAAATTAACAAAGATAAGATAATTACCTTAATGTAAATTTCATTTCTTTCCTCTAGAGTAAGGGCACCAGTCAAAACCTCACCATTGGCAGACTCCATCTGTGCTAAGCGTTCTTGCACATGTTCATCATATTGTTCTGCAATTACTCTTGCTCTTTCATCAACATATGTTCCATCAGATTTTTGGTGTGTTTTTTTCATCACAGCAATGAAGGAAGAGTCTTCATTATTTGCTTCCTACAAATAAAAACAGTTTACAAATTACATAAAGCAACTACGATTGGAACCGTAGTTAGAAACGTTAATAAAAGTATAAATATCTAAACCATTACCAGAGCATCTTGAACCTTGGCATATGAACATGAACCTGATCTGTGTCCGTGGGGACCTAAACCATCACGACTAAACAGCCGAGAAGAATGAGCTTTTTGGCTTTTTTCTTTGGCTTCTGGTGTCCTCCAGTGAGCTAACATTACTAACCAATCTGATGACAAAATCCAATCTGGTTTTACTCCATTGGACTTTGCAAAGCTAACCATTCCTCTCAAGCAAGTAGCAGCAAGTGCATCAAAGTTGGCTTTCACTAGATGCTCGATTGAGACATCCCACTCATACATTGTCTAGAATACATATAATATTATACACTGAAAGTATTAAAAAATACTAAAAATATAAAGTAGACACATAATTTAGACAAACCTTAAACGTTGAATACCATGCTTCTTTAAAATGCCGTGGCACTTTTATCCAGCTGTACCATGGTCCCTTAAAGCACCCTTCAATGATTTTTCTCACTCTGGTTGATACTTCAGTGTTGTTTTTGAACCTGCTGCCAAAGTAATTAAACTGAGCAAACTAATATTTTATTATATTTGATTCTGTATATATAAGAAAACAAACAATACCATTTGGCTCCATTCCTTCGAGATGGATGGAGCACTCGAACATCATGTGCTATAGGTGCTATTTCTTCCATCTGTTCAATTTGTTCAGCGTTGGCTGCCGGAGGAAGTGGTCTTTCGACCCCCCCCCAGATTGAGAAGCTGATCCTCTCCCATACAAACGGCCACCTACAATGATTGGAGGCCTCATCTATAATTGACAAAGAGCAATTTTTTATAAAAAAATGAGTCAAAAAGCATAAGAAATAAAGCTAAAGACAAATCTGAGAACTTTAAATAGCAAAAACAATTGATCTCCAAAACTCAGTTGACAGATATGTTTTTTTAATCTCAAAAACGACCAGAACACAATTGACCTCCAAAACTCAGTTGTTATATACGTTTGTTTGATCTCCAAAACTAGCAAATTCAATTAGGCAATCTAACAAATCTAAAGAATTTCAAAAAAAAGTTTAGGCCAAAACCGATGATTAGAGACACATAGGACTAGAGACACATAGGGTTAGAGACACATAGAACAGACCTTGAAATCACTCTTTGTGGAAAAATAAAAACCTAAGCAAAAGACGGCTCCAAAAGTAAAACGTGATAGATGCTAAGTTTATTAGGAGTACTTTATTTATATATTAGGTGATATTTTAGGGTTTTAGTGACATTTAATGTTAAATTTGGCGACTACAAAAAAATTTAATACTGTTTACCGGCTATTTTCCCGCACTTAACAATTTCTGAATCTTTCTAATTTATGTTTTCCCTCTTTCTTTGAGGACCAAATTTTTCATTCCCTCTAAAATTAAAAACAATGACTGTCTTATATCTCTGAAAGGAATCATGCCGTGATATTTAGTAATTAAAAGAAGTTGGAAAGTTGGTGACACCTGTTTTATTGTATATTGCAGTGCACAATAGCAGCTTCGACTCATAATTCTACCATCTTCGAACTCAATAAGTGTGCTGCAAAATTCAATATAATCATTGAGTACAACCCAAAACAAATGCATCAACAAAGCTTTATAACCCTGGAGTCAAAATCTGTGATCTTTAACACAAACACAATTCTATGATTCGTAACAGATTTCTAAATAATCTATGAAGCTCATTAACAGGCAAACACAAGAACAGTCGTCAGAAACACAAACACAAGAACAGTAGTCAGAATCTTAGATCTTTAACACAAAAACTATATGATCATTTTTTGTTTTCAAATTTTCAGATATTTCAATTTTTTGGTTTTTTTTTGTTAATATGCACTAAATGCTATGCATGATCAAATGAGACTCAAAAAGGCAAAAGAAAAAATAAGAACATATAAAACATGATTAGTAAACACAAAGCCTCTCTCCCATACTTAAATAACACAGTCCCTTGTGTTATAAAAGCATGAGAAAGGGGAAAAATCAAACATGAAATGCAAAAGATAAAGAAAAATGCTAAATGCTCATTTACAAGTGTTTGGAGTGATACCTGGTGTGGTTCTTATGCAAAAGGGGAGTGAGTATCTGCACCAGATGAGGCCAGACATCACTGGAGATGGGTTTGGCTTGGCCTGAACTCCCTTGTGCGGCATGGACTTGTCTTGGACCAACTCGCACACCCATGTAGGTATGATTTGCGAACAGGTGTGCTACTTGGATCAGGGGAGAACTGACTCGCACACCCATGTAGGTGTGATTTGCAAACAGGTGTGCTAGATGGGACCTGACCTTGTCCAACTCGCACACCCAAGTAGGTGTGATTTGCGAACAGGTGTGCTAGATGGGACCTGACCTTGTCCAACTTGCACACCCAAGTAGCACACCAGGCGGCTCACCAGTTTTCATTCCTTAAGACCGTCCTCAGCTTGTTCTCACACTCCTTTTCATTTTGTCATTGGACCACAACATCCCTAAGTTACCTTAGACCTGAAAACACTTCACAAAACCCATCAAAATATCCTAAAACATGAAAAAGAAGAGAAAAAAATAAAAATAAAAAGAGTTATGTACAAGGATAAGCTTGGGGTGTCTCCCAAGAGCACTTTGTTTTAAGTCACTAAGTTTGACTTTTCATACTCTTTTCTTAGTGAGTGAGAGGAGGAGCTTTGATGCTCCTTGTCTTGTCCATGAATTCAAGCATTAGGTCCCTGTTCATCAGCTCTTGAACACCAGATGACCCTTTGTCTATGAGCTCTTGTGTGAGGATTGCCCTAACTTTTGCAAAAGGTTTTGATCCTGCAATGCCTTTAACCTTGTATTCCACAGCTCCACCATCAAACTTCCATGGAGTGAGAGTTGAGACTTGAGAAGAGGACCCAAGAGTGAATGATTTGGTGCTTGTTGGGTTCTTGTCTTGAGACCCTGAACCATTGCTTTTGTTGCTGCTGACCTCCTTCTCACTTGGTGTGGGAGAAAAAGATTCCAAGCAAGCTTCATCATCACTAAAGAAATCTCCTTCAAACTCAAGATCAGGTCTTACTAAGGATTCTTTCTTCTTCTCAACAGATGCAAGGGGTTGAGCTTCTTCTATAGTTCCAATACTCCCCACATACTTCATCTCATAGTGTTTCAACTCATCAGAATCATCAGATATAACCCCTTAAAATCCAGCAAGAGGAGGTTTAAGGGGATAAGATACTTCATCATCTACCTTTGTAAGCACCACTCTTTGAGTATCAAAGTCCATCCTTGCTCCTGTGGTGTTCAGAAATGGAGTTCCAAGCAGAAGAGGTAGCTCTTTGGTCTTTTTCATCTTCATGACTACAAAATCAGTTGGAACAGTGCATTTACCAATCTTCATTGGGTAATCTTCAAGGATTCCATATGGCTTCTTTGATGATGAATCTCCAAAGGTGATTGACATGGGGTGATGCTTAAGACTCTTGATCCCTAGTCTCTCCACCATGTCTAAAGACATTACACTGATGCTTGATCCAGAATCACACAAAGCATTGTCCACTTTCAAATTTCCAAGAGAGCATGAGATGGAGAACTTTCCTGGGTTGCCTAGCTTGGGAATATATTTGGGTTTCACCCTTGTCGAACCAGTGCTAGACACTCCATCAGATGTCCTTCCTTGAACCATTCTCTGATCCTTTCCTTCAGCAATCTCAGAATCATTCTTTTTCATATCAAAACATGGTCCCTTAAAGCACCCTTCAATGATTTTTCTCACTCTGGTTGATACTTCAGTGTTGTTTTTGAACCTGCTGCCAAAGTAATTAAACTGAGCAAACTAATATTTTATTATTTTTGATTCTGTATATATAAGAAAACAAACAATACCATTTGGCTCCATTCTTTCGAGATGGATGGAGCACTCGAACATCATGTGCTATAGGTGCTATTTCTTCCATCTGTTCAATTTGTTCAGCGTTGGCTGCCGGAGGAAGTGGTCTTTCGATCCCCCCAGATTGAGAAGCTGATCCTCTCCCATACAAACGGCCACCTACAATGATTGGAGGCCTCATCTATAATTGACAAAGAGCAATTTTTTATAAAAAAATGAGTCAAAAAGCATAAGAAATAAAGCTAAAGACAAATCTGAGAACTTTAAATAGCAAAAAACAATTGATCTCCAAAACTCAGTTGACAGATATGTTTGTTTAATCTCAAAAACGACCAGAACACAATTGACCTCCAAAACTCAGTTGTTATATACGTTTGTTTGATCTCCAAAAATAGCAAACTCAATTAGGCAATCTAACAAATCTAAAGAATTTCAGAAACAAGTTCAAGCCAAAACCAATGATTAGAGACACATAGGACTAGAGACACATAGGGTTAGAGACACATAGAACAGACCTTGAAATCACTCTTTGTGGAAAAATAAAAACCTAAGCAAAAGACGGCTCCAAAAGTAAAACGTGATAGATGCTAAGTTTATTAGGAGTACTTTATTTATATATTAGGTGATATTTTAGGTTTTTAGTGACATTTAATGTTAAATTTGGCGACTACAAAAAATTTAATACTGTTTACCGGCTATTTTCCCGCACTTAACAATTTCTGAATCTTTCTAATTTATGTTTTCCCTCTTTCTTTGAGGACCAAATTTTTCATTTCCTCTAAAATTAAAAACAATGACTGTCTTATATCTCTGAAAGGAATCATGTCGTGATATTTAGTAATTAAAAGAAGTTGGAAAGTTGGTGACACCTGTTTTATTGTATATTGCAGTGCACAATAGCAGCTTCGACTCCTAATTCTACCATCTTCGAACTCAATAAGTGTGCTGCAAAATTCAATATAATCATTGAGTACAACCCAAAACAAATGCATCAACAAAGCTTTATAACCCTGGAGTCAAAATCTGTGATCTTTAACACAAACACAACTCTATGATTCGTAACAGATTTCTAAATAATCTATGAAGCTCATTAACAGGCAAACACAAGAACAGTCGTCAGAAACACAAACACAAGAACAGTAGTCAGAATCTTAGATCTTTAACACAAAAACGCTATTATGTGATACACATAGCAAATTAATGCACTAAATATGAAGCTCAATAACAGGCAAACAACAATAACTATGAAACAGTCTAGAAGAAAGAAAAAAAAAGGATAAGATGACCCACACAGGGAGAAGCAGGAAGGAAAGAAAATCAGTCATCAGTTCCATCAGCTTGAAAAACAACAAGAGCTTGGAGACATCAAACAACAAAAATCAGTAAGTACCAATTTTCATCAGCAATGCAACAAGAGCTTGGAGACATCAAACAACAAAAATCAGCAAAAC